CTTTTCAGATTTGTTCCTTGCAAATTAAACACATAAAGATTGCGTACAATACTCCTAAGAGATTACTCAGATGAAGAAAAGAAAGAAGCCGATAAATATAGGAATGTTGACGGAAAGAAGAAAAATAGGTCGGTACAAGAGGAATACGGGATTTAATACATCTCACCTTAAAACGACAACGTTTTTTAGGTTCCACACCTAGTAACAGCCACACATTCCCTTTTCCCATATATATATATATATATATATATATATATATATATATTATATATATATATATATATATATATATATATATATATATATATATATATATAAGGGCTAGGTTCAAATGTTTTCGTATCTATTGTGTGCTCCTAAGGACAATTCTGGACCAACGGATGAATAGAATCAATGGTCATGACCTAAAAGTCTATGATATTACAATAGGGTAACATGTATAATATAATCACACAAATTTCAGCAAAATGATATTTTGGTCAATTAATCTATATTAAAAAAGGTACTTTTCGGATTTTAAGGGATCATTAATTCCCTTATTTATAAAAGTTTGAATTTTTTAAATTAATTCTAATTAAATTCTAATATAGTTTTAGTAATAACCGATTTATTCTGTCAGAATAATAAAAAGTCAACCATAAACTAGTAAATATATTTTCGGTTTTATTCTTGCAGAATATGGTTCCATTTAAGAAATTTTTTATAATAAACATGCTTAAAGAATTATACAACATATTATCAAGAATAACATTTACTAAAGAATACGGATTTTATTCTTTAAGAATCGCTAATTACATTCATTCATAAAGAATAAAACTATAAACAATTATTACATTCATTCTAAAAAAATATGACTAATGGTTTAAAAATTACATTTATTCTTAAAGATTAAAACTAAAAATGTTACAAATGAAAAAAAAAAAAAAAAAAACATCAAATTCTAACAAAAATACTAATCCATTCCGAAAGAATATTGTTTTTAAGAAACAATTTATACATTCTGACAGAATACATTATGCTAGAATACATTCTCGTTCTCCATTTTTCTTCATTTTTCACATTAAAGACAGCCTCTTTAAAACCTAAATTCACGAAGAAAATATAATCAACTTTCAAATATTAAAAAATTTAATACATTCTAAGAGAATAAAAACTATTAATTCAATGCATAAGACATGTGTTGCTATTAATTCTAACAAAATGCACAATAATACAAACCTGGTCAAACACACACAAATCCATGTTTTCTTTCTTTTTCACACTACTATTAATACTTTCATTAAGTTTTTTACATAAAAAAATAACATCGTACAAATAAAACAAAATTGTGTATAATTAAAGCTTTTCTTGTATATCAGTATCCTACTCACAGTGGCAAAATTAGAAGGGCTTCGCCTATTAAAAAAGGTGGTCTCATATGGGCATAAGTAAAATTATGAACCTGGGGTTCACGAACCTTTATTGAATCTGCATCATAATTTGTTTCATTTCTCTATTATGATTCAATCACTCCCCATCATTCTTCAAAATATATTTGATAAATGTTCGGCCATAACAAAATTCAATTTTTGCTTGAATGTAATTAATTAAAAATCACACATATGTCAAATACATTAAATAATTATATATTTTTGGTTACATGTCTTATCTCCAATCAATGAAGAACTAGTTTGTATGGAACCCTAACAAATCAAAAACGTATAACTAACAAGTTTAACAAAGGAATAATATGTTACCTGGAAAAATTGGAGAAGCGCTGATGACATGGTGATGAACGAGCATGATACAAAACAATATCAAACAAAAGGAAGTATAATCAGTCGAGATTTACCCCTTCTCCTCCAATCGATCACAAACTAGTAGATAGAAAATTCTTGATTCTGATTCACTTCCCTTCTTTCTTAGTTGTCGACGAGTAGGAAAATTGAAGGAGAAGAACAACGTGAGGAGAACCAACGTGTGAAGAAGAAGAAAGTGATCGGCGAATAATAAAGGGACGATGGATTTTAGGGTTTAACTTATTGCCTTATTTTAGGAGATATTAATTGAATTATTCTTTTACCATAATAGATATATTAAGATTATCATTATACCCTTATTTATTTATTTAATTATTTATTATTTTCTGAATTCTCATTGGTCCCTACAAACATACAATAGTTGTCAAAAACATATGAACCTAACTTTTATATATATATATATATATATATATATATATATATATATATATATATATAATATATATATCTATATATATATATAAAAGATTAGGTTTTATGGAAAATAAATATTTAAGGCATCAAGTTAGGAGCCAATGAGCAATTGACACTTGTCCAACTATAAAAGTTATTGAAATTACGAATTTACAAATTTAGTCCATGTTAAATTTACAAATTTAGTCCATGTTGTTTTCTTAAAATTATATGTTTAGTCCAACTGTATTTGTTTTGATCCGGCAACCAACCCCTCTTCTTCCTTCCCGTTTCATTTTCCCTTTCCACTTCATCATCCTCGTCCATGAAGAAGAAACCCAGAAAAAAATCTAAACGATTAACAAAATTCATAAAATCAAAATACACTGAGGGAAAAGATTAGGTCCCACCACAACCTTTTACCAGATACAACATCTAAATGTAAAGCTAGAAACCATTTCATCTTCTCTGTAAATCTCCATATCGAAGTTCCAAATTCAAATCACATATCTCAAATCCAACTCCCACCCATTACACTGAGTTCCTTGTACATCTCTATCTTCATCTTTCATGTTCATTTTCATCAATGATTTTTGAAAGAACACACATACTCACTAGAATTTCAAAAATTGATCTTCAAGAAAACACATGAAAATACACATACATCAGATGAATAAAACTTATAAATCGTGTTCATCTTTCAGAAATTCCAATGAAAAAAAAACCTTGAAATCGATATTTGTACCAAACTAACAAAAATCGAAGCCCTAATTTTCTGAAATCGATATGCAAGAAGGACACGATCTGGGGGGGAGTTCAATTACATCGCAGGTTTACGAACATCTCATTCTCCACGCTACCCACTGCCCTACTAGTGGTTAAAAGAAACAGATTTTACAGGAGGGTGAAGTTGATGAACAACGAAATCTAGGGTGGTGGTGGTGATCGATGTTCTGTAATTATTACGATTTTTCAGAGTAAGGATTTTAGATCTAGTGTTTCGTTATGGTTAGTGTCTGAAGTTGGTAAAACACAGGTGTAGGGAGATTAAAGGCAGTTGTGTGTGGTGGTGCATGTATGTGAACATAGAGATGCAGGAGAGATGGTTGAGTATTTGGTGGTGCTGCATAACACGGTGGTGGTTCCGGCGACTTTGTCCGGTGGTCCGGTGTTTGTCTTCAAAGAGATGCAGAGAGTGTGTCGAAATATCAATATGGAATGTTTTGGGTGGGGGTGAAAGAATTGTTTCAAATTATGCCGACTGTTTATTCATTTCTATTTAATTAGTTTCTTTGATTTGATTGGTTTTCATGGACGGTGGCTTTAATGCCTTTTCATTCTATTAATGTTATGTTGAAAGAATTGAAATAAGTTTTGAATTAGAGATGATTTTCATTTATTAAATCAAAATTAACCTTTAACTATTCTAATTTTAAGTTTTCTTTGAGATTGATAAAAGATTAAGGATTGATAGATTTGGAGAAATATTCTAAACCATAGGGACCATTTGTATAATTATTTTAAATTTAATTGTAACCCTAATATTTATTTTCCATATAACCCTTCCCTCTCTCTATATATATATATATATATATATATATATATATATATATATATAGATATATATATATATATATATATATATATATATATATATATATATATATATATATATACACATGCATAGGCTTTCAAATGTATATAAATAATAAATACAAATAAATATATTCGGAAAACTATATTTATTTGAAATATTTTTTTACAATTAAGATCGTAGTAGTAGTAGTAATAATAATAATAATAATAATAATAATAATAATAATCAAAATATCGATATTAATGAAAATAATAATAATAATAATAATAATAATAATAATAATATAAATATTGTATATTAATAAATGTTCCAGCCTAGTGGTAAGGAGTTTGGATTATTGCTTAGGAGGTCGGGTGTTTGAATCCCGCCGTCCTCTTTTCCTCTCCAATCCGCCGCATTTTTCAGTATAATTTTGGCAAGACACCCCCTCGCTTATGTGGCGCTTCGTCAGTCCGATCTGTACGTATGAGGCTTGCCATATGTGTAGGTAACCTGTTACCCAACCGGCTAACCTGTTAAAATGGAAAAAATGCAAAACTTTATGCAAACTTTCGGCTTTAGTGAACCAAAAAAACATCAAATGGTAAATCCGAACATTTCCTAAAAACTTAAGGGATTTTTTTATGTCATTTGCCCTAAATTATTGATACCAGTATGAAACTTTACTGAAAGTAAAAAATTTAGAAGTGAATAAATTTTTAATTAAAAAAAACACTAAAGATAAAATGGATTACGCTATTTTAACTTTTATTAACATATAAACCCATTTACATTTGATTCACTAATTTTTATGAAAATTATAAGCACTATTTTCAGCCATAAATTATAAATAAATAATACATAAATAATCACTATCTTATAACAAAAATGTTGGAAAGTTACAAACTGTCTCCATAGAAAAATTTTCATTGGAGAGCCTAGATTGAATAATTCAATTTCACTGTATCGATTCTTTTTTTTTTTGGGAAATGAATGTGGTAGTTTTCCAATGCAATAGAAGTCAAAACGAAATGAAGATCACAAACTCCGGCTCAACCATGCGGAGAAACTCACATAGAATTGGCAGAAATGTTAATGCTAAAAACAAAACCCCCTTTCCTTACAACCTCCGCCCATTGCTGGCTTGCTGAAAGCACCTCTTTTGTCCAAATCTTCACATAAAATCACCACCTTATTAACCATTCTCTGCATTTCAACCAAAATCACCCCTCATGAGCCGACATCCACCCAAGAGCATCCCACTTGCCGCCAACATGTCCTCCCCCGGGCAACCAAACACCGCCACTATTGCCGCCATGAAAACCAGAAGTTCTCGAACAAGATTTTGTGGTGCGTTTGGTGATTGCATGACAAAACCTACCATTGCTTCTTCGCCACCTCGTCAGTCTAACTCTAGACTCGAACTTCAGGTACACCGTTTGCCCCTATTTCTTATGCACGTGAGGGCAGAATAGAATACATTGTACTGTGTTTGGTATGCATTAGACTGAAACTGATATCAATGGGACCAAAGTTGTAAGTTTTTTGTCCCGCTCAAAAAGGTGTAACAAATGCAACATCATTAACAATGTTGTGTCAATGCTCGTTAAAGGTAAATGTGTAGGGGACTGGATATGACAGTACAAGCTATCGAATGCTATTTTCAATGATGGGAAGACGGCATTTACGTCTTTTTTTTATAACTTTTTACAAATGAAAAAACGAGAGTGAGTCCCTTTCCAACTGTTTTCCACCTTTTATATGGAAAAAAAAAAGTTTTAATTTTTGTGTCATTGACATTCGTGCATTTATCATTCCATTGCACACCAAATATATTACAACAGCTATATCTTGTCTAGTCATGTATAATAATCAATATCTTATGGTTGTCATAAATTTACCAATCCGAGTCGTTTTTTTTAATTATTAAAAGAAAGTTAAAGGAAAAAAAAAATTGATTTTACTTTATAAATTTGGTGATTTTGGTTTTGGGGTTGTGAAATTATTTTGAAGGTGGAAGAGCTACACAAAGAAGTGAAGAAAGAGAAAGAATTAAAGTCTATGTACAAGATAAGGTTGGAAAGAACACAAGATTACCTAAAATACTGTCTACAAGTAGCACAAGACAACGGATTCTTGAACCTTATTATTAACAAAAAAGACAACCCTCAAGAATCGTCTCCTACTTCCTCATCTGCCATCGTTCAAGCTTCTACAAATCCTCAAACACCACCAAATATCCCCAAAAATACCAATCTTTTAGCTCTCATCGAGCAAGCCAAGCTTAACGGATGGTACATTGATCCACATGAGGTACATACATCAACCCTCGGTTTGTGTAAAAAGACATAAATACCCTCCTCGTCATCGAAAATAGTCTAGAAAGCTTGTTCGGTTATCAATGATACGAAAATTGTAACTTTTTTCGTATTTAGACAAAAATTAGAAATTTTGTAATGACGTAATTAGATAAAAATTGCAATTTTTTGTCCCGGTGGAAAAGGGTGTCCCTCTTGACCTCTCGCTTGTGTAAAAGACATAAATAACCTCATCATCATCGGAAATAGCCCTATAAAGTTTGTTTAGTAGATTCTAGTCATGTCCGGTGTAACAAACACAACCTAACACATTACAAAAGGCACACATAAATACATTATACATAATCTTAAGAGATTGATTTTATTGTTTTTGCATGGTGTAAGATTGAATTACACAAGAAAGTAGCTCAAGGAAGCACGGCGGAAATATACAAAGCAACATGGAGAGGCCTAGAAGTCGCAGTGAAGTGCATATTTCCCGATTTTTTCAGATTAAACGATTGTGGCGTTAGCTTCTTTGCTCAAGAGGTGGAAACCCTGTCAAGACAACGACACACGTACGTACTCCGGCTAATAGGTGCGTGTCTTGACCCACCGAACCATGGGTGGGTGGTTACCGAATTCATGAACATGACTTTGAAGGATTGGCTACATGGTCCGGGTAAGAGGAGGAAAGAACGTGTCACCCCACTTCCTCCTTTTGAAGAGAGATTAGCCAAGGCACTAGAGATTGCTCAAGGGATGCAGTATTTACATGAGCATAAGCCTATGATTATACATAGGGATTTAAAACCTAGTAATATATTTATGGATGATGCGTTTCATGTGAGAGTTGCGGATTTTGGGCATGCACGATTCTTGTCGGATGAAGAAAAAGCGTTTACGGGTGAAACGGGTTAGACTTCCATCTTTCTTCCTTTGGATAACAAGATAGGACATAACGGTTTTATACTGCATTTAGTGTGCATTGGACTGGGACTGCGACCGATGCCAATGAGACTAAAAGAATGAAAATTTTTGTCCCACCCAAAAAGGTGGGACATGGATTCGCGTTCGATTTCCTGTTTGTGCAAAAAGACGAAAATGCCCTCCTCATCCTCATCATCGAGAATAACCTTAGAAAGCTTGTCTAGCCTTGTCCTGTGTAACAAACGCAGTCGTAGGCTGCGTTTGTTATAAAATACAAGACCGGACCAGACAAGCTTTCTAATGCTATTTGCAATGACGAGGATGAGAAGGGCATTTTCGTCATTTGCACAAACGAAAAATCGAGAGCGTATCCATGTCTCACCTTTTTGGGTAGGACAAAATTTTGCATTTTTTTGTCCCATTGGCATCAGTCACGGTCGCACAGTCCAATACACGTCAAACACAGTTCAAAGGGAGTCTTATATTTTGTTTTCTTTAGGGACATATGTATACATGGCCCCAGAGGTAATTCGAAGTGAGCCATACGATGAAAAATGCGATGTTTTCAGTTTCGGAATCATACTTAATGAGCTTCTAACCGGCAATTATCCATACATAGAGACAGACTATGGTCCCTCCAAGGTACTCAACTAAAACACACTACCATATCACTACAAGTTAATTCTTTCTTCATTTAGGACTTTCAACAAACAGTTGGTGTGCATTTGTGTTTAATGAGGAACAGATTGCATTACAAGTTGGGGAAGGCAAGATAAGGCCAGCACTTCCGGAGCATGAAGATAACATTGAAGATTTGATTCAACTGATTCAACTCTCATGGGATGAAGATCCTGAATATAGACCCTCTTTTGGTACAATTACCCGGGGTTTGACAATGATTTATGATAGATTTATTAATGCCCCATAGAATTTTCCTTTTAATACTTTTCCAACATTTTTATACTTGTATTTTATTGTGCCTTGCTATTAGAAATACTCTACTGTAGTAGACTTAGCATAGTATTTTATATAAATGTTGAACAAAAATCGAAATTACTAAACTTCAAGTAGTAATTGTTATTTGCCAATTATAATTAGGGTTAAAGGGGAAAAGACATAAAAGGACAGAAGAAACTTACTTGAGATAATTTGATGACTTGAGGAACAAAAGTCAAAACAACCCAATCCATTTCTTGAAAGTCAACGCAGCCTCCCTCCTACTTATCTGAGACTCTGTCTGAAATTTAGGAGCCTTCCCTTTACAGAAAGTTTTATGATACTTCATAAAAAGCATCCGATACTTATACTTATCCACAAACATTTTCCCTTTTTCCATCATCTCAACAACTTCATTAGCCCGAATAAAAAATCCACCTCTTACAAAAGTATAAAGAACAGAATCCAAAAGCTCTTGATCAAACTTCATGCCATGATACAATCCAAGAACCTTCATCTCACCCCAAAGTTCAGTCACCTCAGTATACTTCCCTCCAACAGCAGCATATCCAGTCACTAAAGAATGAAAAGTTTGAGCATTTGGTGTATACCCTAAACTCCTCATCTTTTTCAGAGCCTTTTCAGCATCTTGCATCATCTTCTTCCTACAAAAGAAATGAATCACATTGTTCCAATCATGAACACCACAATCGACTTTTTGTCCTTCTTTGATTTCTTGTAGAAGCTTTGCCATTAGTTTAGCTTCTCCACTCCCTCCACATCCTTGAATTAACATATCAAATTCTTGTTGATTATGTTGACTATGTTGACTAGTGTTGTCTAGTTTAGCTTCTTTCATTTCTTTAAAAAGATTTAAAGCTCCTTGAGTGTCTTCATCAACCACATGGGATTCAATGAGTGCTTTGTAGCAACTAGCATCTAGCTGGACCCCACCTTTACGTGCATCTCTAAGGAGTGATTTTACTTCTTGTGTTTTGTTTTCTTTACAATATGCTTTTAAAAGAGATGAATAAACAGAAGATCCGGTTTTGAAACCACTCAGGCGCATTTCATCGAGCAGGTCATGTGCATGATCTAACCATCCAAGAGAAATGCATGAATTCACAACTTGAATTAAAGGAGAAGAATCAGGAGAAACTGGGGAATCCTCTTTCTCTACCTTGATTAGAAATTGAACTAAATCTTTTACCTTGTTAGCTTCCAAGAAACCTTTGACTAGTTTCACAAAAACTGTGTCTGTTGGTTGGAGAATGCCATGTTTGGTTGTGATCAACTGTTTTTTGTTCTGAAACTTCATTACTGAAATGTTAAGTAGTTCTTTTGCTTCTTCTTCAAGTTTTAGAAACTTTCTATCTCCAAAAAAATATTCATAATCCAAAGTCTGGGGTATCATTGTCTTTTCAGGAGTCAAAGTCAAACTCTCTTGAGACTCTATTTGAGGACATTGGATGGATGTATTTGTATTGTCAACTTTCATGGCTTCAAATCTAAAAGTAGCAACACCAAGAGAATCTTGAGCTTTCTTTGCCTTCCTAAGCATTTCAAGAACCATTTGAGAAGCAGATTCTAAATCCCCAAATTTCAAATGGCAAGAAAGCAAGCAATTATAAAACTCTCTAAACTGAACATTACTCAAATCATGGGCTTCATCAATGTATCTCTTAAGTTTTTTAAGCTCTTCTTTTCTTCCATTCTGTTCATATACATGCCCCATCATGATCAACATGGTGACATCAGTTTTCACACCAATTCGAGGTATCATATCCAAAAGCTGCTCTGCTTTTCTATTTGTCCCAAACAAAAGACAACCCCCTAAAGCAATGTTTACAGCAGTTGTATTGGGCTTCATAGCAATGAGTTCTTCATTGATCTTTTTACGTGGGTCCACTCTTCCATCTTGAAACAGAAAACCAATCTCAAGAACCAATTCAGCTGCCAGATAAGCACCAGAAGGAGTTAGTGACATATGTGCTAATATAGCAGACCAAGCAGTGACAGGAGGAAACTGTTGGGTTTCTACTAGCTTTCTTAAAACAGTTGCAGCATGAACAGGTAGACTGGCTTTTTGCAAGACATAGTGATAGATATATGAGAGTTGTCTTTTCTAGCAAATTCTGTTTGTGTTCTTCAATGGCTTTTTCTACTAAATGATATGCCCTTTCGAGGTACTGAAGTTGTAGACTTTGGGAAGAAGTTGTGAGAAGCTTGTTGACAACAGATTTTCTGGGAAACCCTTCCATGTTCATGTGTTGTTCATGTAAGTTCCAAGCTTCATTAAGTTTATGTTCATCGAGTGCATTTTGTAACTCCTCACTTAGCTTAGCAGGGTCTCTAGCTTGGACCAGGATTGTACTGACTATGGTTGAAAAAGATTGACATGGATAGATATTTCCAGGCACTACTTCCAATGCGTTGTTAGCTGATTGATGAAATACCATGCTGTGACAATAATAACTTGTAATCTGGGCGTTAAGATTACTGATGGAGAACATGCCTTGAATGGCATAAAGAGCTTTTAAGTTCCCATATCTCAACTTTCGTAGCAACATCCCAGCAGTTTTGCTATCAACGCTCTCAGGGGAATTTAATCAAACACTTGGTGGCCCCCAACTTGGTAACTATTAATCCACATACCCAATACGAAGGGATGACAAATTAAGTCAAATGCCATAAAGTCTGCTTAGAAGATACCATTGCCAGCTCACCTACGGTTTAGTCTTGCTTAAGGAGCCCTGTGCGTACCAGCGGTGGAAGCATCTGACATTGCTGCTACTTAACCACCGATGTAGCCTGTTCCAGAGTAAATTCAGTAACTTCGTAGAAACAGATTAGATGCAATGAACGACGATGTAGTGATTCAGTTTTAGCCTTTAAGCCTTCTTGTTATCGTGTGTTATATTTCAACGATGATGGCAATATACAGTGCTATAAGGATCAGCAGGTACCGCGGGTTGTAATTGTTAATGGTTAGACTTTAGGGTGTCTGGTTGGGGCGTGGCAACCTTGGACGCGGGGCACAAGTCTCGGTGTGCGATCTGGATCTAGCATTTAAATTATGTTGTGTTATACTTGCCCACTAAAAGTGATTTCACATCTCTCATTTTTGGTCGTACCTTTTCAAAATCTTGTCATTTAGGCCATTCACAATGGGTATGAAGATGGTCTTCCTGTTTTTGGCGGCCACGAACCACGACCGTGTATACCATTCCGGATTCCCAATGCC